AAGCAAAATATGTTCAGTAGTCTCTGGAGGAATGGGACTCTCAGCTATGGTTGGCAGATAAAATCAAAATGATGCCTATTGAAATTCATATATTTATATATTGCCAAAGGATAAGACATTTGGTTTATCTTGCATACATTTTACACGCACACACACAAACCTACATGTATGCATATAAATATGGTTTACATAGATGTCTATATACATATATACATACATATATAATGCCCATGAACATATTATTTATGAAGATTACTGAGCTTTTTGATGACTTGATAGGGTCTGATTGACTTGTAATGATGCTGTTACTCTAATTTAACGTAAGTTAATATCCAATATAAATGAGTTATTAAAATGTCATTGTGTCCAATTTTTTCCATGCTTATAAAGTGGTTCATTAATATTAAAAAAATGGCAAAAATGTAATTTTGTAACTCTAAATTTCCCAATTAAAAATTTGAAAAATGACAATATAAGCAGGAGTTTTCTGAGGAAAAGTATAGGGCTTAATACCATTTAAAAAAAAAATTCTCATTTTTCTTCAAGGTCTGATTCTTATTGGGCAGAGACTGTAATCCAGCACAGAAATAGCTACCAATACAGTTTATTTTAAGAAGCTTAAGACTGAATTCATCAGTCTTCATGAGCCTGAAGAATTCACCCACGTGCACTCAGAGGTGCCTCACTTCTGGTGACCTGCATGCTCACTTCTAGCCCTGAAGCTCCTCTGACTATCGTGTGTGATGCTTGTGTCTGTACTCTTGCATGTGCAACTGGAGTGCAGGGAAGTTCATGCCTGGTGGGGCCACCCCTTGACCACCGGAGAAAGAAACCAATAAATAAATGCGTCCTGCTTTCTGCTTAGAAGTGGGCAATCTGGCCAAACACTTAATGAGGTGACTCAGCAGGTCTTGGCTGGGTGGAGCATGGGCTATTTCCTGTAGAGGAGGCCAGCTTTATTTTGCATCCTAATTTTACCCATTTCTCTTCTTCCCCACTCCACCTCTTATCCTCCACTCCTGCTCCCTGGGATTTCTTTCCAATTAAATGAACTGGGATCCCTTGTCTAGGCTCTGATTTCAGGAAAACTCAAGCAAAGAAGCAAGGAAAATAGCACAATTATTGGTTTGTGTAACTGACGTTGGCATGTTGCAAATGATCTCAGGAATGGCCTGTTCTAGGGCTTATATGCTCCAGTAATTCTCATTCTCCTTTTCTATCTTTCATTTCTCTTCTTTGCTCTGTGAGGATCTCATTTGCTTCTCCACAGAAATGTCTCCCAAGAGCAATAGGAGCTTCTGATAGTCTTAGCTTTATATTTCAGAGATCCAGCTCAAGGACTTTCACCTGTGTGAGTAGGGGCACAAGTTCTATCTCAACCACAGAGGCTGAGAAAACTGAGCACCTCAATAGCCTAGTCTGGGACTAAAGAGGTAGTGAGTTCTGTTTTCAGAAGTTGACTATAATTTAAAAAATTGTATATGAGTATGTTCTTACATTAGCAGATAAGATATTGAGAAATTATCAAGCTTTTGATATCCTAAATTTTTAGGAAAACATCTGCTATGTGTTACTACATGGCCCTTATAACTTGGCAGAACTATACCCTAAACATACAATATGCCAACGTGTTAATCAGGGTTCTCTAAAGGGACAGAAATAATAGGATAAACGTATATATGAAAGGGAGTGTATTAAGGAGAATAGGCTCACCTGATCACAAGTCCCACAATAGGCTGTCTGCAAGCTGAGGAAGAAAGAAGCCAGTAGTGGTTAAGTCCAAATCCAAAGACCTCCAAAGTAGGGAAACTGACAGTGCAGCCTCAGTCTGTGGCTGAAGGTCTGAGAACCCCTGGCAGACCACTAGTGTAAGTCCAAGAGTCCAAAGGCCAAAGAACATGGAGTCAGGCATAAGGAACAGACGGAAGCATCCAACACAAGAGAAAGATGAAAGCCAGAAGACTCAGCAAGCCAGTTTCTCCCACCTTCTTCTGCTTGCTTTGTTCTAGCTTCACTAGCAGCTGATTGGATGCTGCCCACCCACATTGAAGGTGGGGCTCCCCCCACAGTCCACTGGCTCAAACGTTAATCTCCTCTGGCAACACTCTCACAGACACACCCAGAAACAGTACTTTACTAGCTATTTAGGCATCCTTCAGTCCAGTCAAGTGACACCTAATATTAAGCATCACAGCCAAAATAAACAAACAGATGAGAAAATAGTCCTTAAATGGGCTGTTAGTCATAGCTCTGTCAACCTGTCTTGCCACTCCATCTTAAACTCAATATCCTCACACCTATCCTGATTCCTGCCTTAACTGACTGTCCATCCCCCTTAGCTCCAGGTTTGTGGTCAGTGGTACTCACTGTAAAGATCTGCTTAAAAATGATTCCATCAACAGGGCTGACCATGCCTGAGAGGCCTGGAAAGCCAGTGTCAGGGTTCTTGTTGTGTTCCCAGGGAAACTTCCTTTGGAACAGTATAATTTACAACTCCTAATGCAGCCTGGGCAGGGATTCGTCACTCTGCCATTGGTTTTTAATGTATGTTTGGCCACTGTTCTTGGAGAAAACACTCTGCTTTAAAATCTAAAGAGTATAATAAGTAGTCCTTTGGTTTATTAATTAAGCTTGACTATTGCATACATGTTCTCACCTTAATTAAACAAAGTTATTGCTGGGTTCAAAGTGAGTACATTCAGCATAAACTTTCATTTTATGTATATATATGACTATATAGTATGATTATATGTGCGCATGTTTACACACGCACATTCACACATGCATGTGCACACACATGGTGCATGCACAGAGGTACACATATATGCACACATGTACACAGATACATGCTTATTCATAGACAAGTCTGGGCTGTTGGAAAGAAAAGATGAATTTCAGTGTTTCAATTAGTACTTCTCAGTACATTGAGGATTTTTTCCTTTATATGTCCATGAACAGATTGTATTGCTTAAAATAGCAATATTGCTTAAAATAGAACCAAGAAACTATACTTCTATGTCAGTGAGAAAACACTAGATCAGTGATTCCCATTTGCTTTCACATTTCATGGAATGCATAGAAGAAAGTAATACTTAAGGCCCCCTGAGATGGAGTTGCTGGAGACCTGTTGGACTTGGGACTTGGAGTTCCCCAGTAGACTGGGAGCTAGAGGAGAGCCGCTTTTGTTCACACTTGTGACTTACTCTTAGCTTGTAGAAATTTGCAGTTGGAGTATGGGGAAAGAAAAGGGGAATTCGTTTCAGGACCTTAGGCACTGTTGGTGGAGCCTCTATGCACAGAGCAGTGGGAGAACACATGCATGGCCTATTTTGTGTTTTCTTTTGGAAAGTAGGAAATGTGGTCTTTTTTTAAATGGCATTTTATGGGTCCAGATTCTGTGACTGACACAAACAAGACACTGGTTTTAACCAAAATATTCAGCTCTAAAATGGTAATATTTTACCTGATCAGATGCTTGTTATATAGCTGTTTTTTTGGTGTATAGATTATACTCAGCAGAGTTTTTCATTCCATAATAAAGTTAGAGTGGGCTTGGCTTTGGCTTTCCAAGTAGATTGCTAAATTGATGCATGATTACAGTAGGATAAATGGGTCTGTCCACACATGAGCAGACAGCATCTATCTGTTGCTGGTTTAGTGACTGAATTTTCATTCAAGGGAAGTTATACTTAGAAAAGGAAATATATAGCAACATTTAGAATGTCTGCTATTCCAGGCTCTGGCAAGTGTTTTCTTATAAAATGTTTACAAATCATTTATTTTGAAATAAAACATAAATATTTTCCAAATCAACCAACCAACAAACAGAACAAAATCAGTGAATTTAGGAGTATTGCATGTGCTTGTGTTGTCTGTGCCATACCAATAGGCTTCCAGCCAGTTGGTGGGGAATGGGCAACAGGAATCTGTAATTTAGCCTACTCTCTGCTTCTCAAATGTGTGCAAGGATGCAGAAGGGCATTAGCTCAGATGTGGCCCAGGAACCCAATGCAGTAACTGTGGGAAAATTACTTGGCATCAAAAAAAGTGTGATAAGTGAAAAAAAGACCACAAATGCTTTGCAGCTCATCCTCTCTAGAGTTAAGTCCACTTCCCACGTTTAAAATCTAGGCTGGCCTTGTGATTTGTTTGATCAATAAAATGTGGGAGAAGTGATATTGGGGGAGTTACCTGACTAAACCCCAAGAGCCTTGGAACATCTGATCTCTCCCTTTTGGAATGCAGATGCTATGTAAAACAACATGCACAGAGGGTGGTCTAGTAGCAAGCCAGCAGCAATCTTTAGGCATGTTAGTTGAAACCATCTTGGCTTATCCTGACACAGCCGGACCACCAGATAGCTCCAATCACCGTAGTCATCTGGCAAGACTAGCAGAACTGTACAGATGAGTCCAGCCCAAGTAACCGACTGAATTGTGAGCCAATAAATGGTTGTTGTTTTAAGACACTACATTTTAGGGGTAGTTTGCCTCCTACTAATAAAAAGCCCCCACCTGAAACAGATATGTAGTGTGAGATTAATCAATTAGGGTTTATAGATTATAACTCTCCTCCTTCCTAATTCTGACAACTTCAGCAAGCTGTTAATCTTAGTTTTCTTCTCTGTCAGACAAGAGAAAAAAATAAAAGGCATCCAAAGAAAGAAAAAAAGTCAAATTATCTTTCTTCATGGACAATATGATTCTTTACATAGAAAACCCTAAAGATTCTGCCAAAGTACTTTTAGACCTAATAAACAACTTCAGTAAAGTTTTGGATATAAAATTGATGTATAAAAGTCACTAGCATTTCTATACACTAGTGACATTCAATCTGAAAAGCAAATCAATAATGAAATCCCATTTACAATAGCCATAAAAGATTAAAATATTAACCAAGGAGGTAAAAGGTCTTTACAAGGAAAACTATAAAACACTGCTGAAAATAATCATAGACAATGTAAACAAATGGAAAAAACATTTCATGCTCATAAATTATAAGAATAAACATTTTTAAAATTACAATACTGCCTAAAGCAATATACAGATTTGATGCAATTTCTATCAAATTATCATCATTATTTTTTTTACAGAATTAGAAAAAACTATTCTAAAATTTATGTGGAACCAAAAGAGAACCCAAATAGCCAAACCAGTCCTAAGCAAAAACCAACTAACCAAACAAAAGACAGAGCTGGAGACATCAAATTAACCAACTTCAAACTATACTACAAGGCTGTAAAAATCAAAACAGCATGGTACTGGTACAAAAGCAGAAACATAGACAAGTGGAACAGAATGGAGAACCCAAAAATGAAGCTGCACACCCACAACCAAGGGATCTTTAACAAAACAAACAATGGGGAAAGAACTCTCTTAATAAATGATGCTGAGAAAAATCATTAATCATATGCAGAAAAATAAAACTGAACCCTTACTTCTCATGATATATAAAAATTAATTCAAGATGGACTAAAGAATTAAATATAAGATCTCAAACCATAAATATCCTATAAGAAAAGTGAGAAAATACTCTTCTCAACATTGGATTAGAGAGTTTATGACTAAGTCCTCAAAAGCAAATGCAATGAAAACAAAAATTGACAAGTGAGACCTAATTAAACTAAAGAGCTCCTGCACAGCAAAAGAACTATCAGCAGAGTAAACAGACTACCTATAGAATGGGAGAAAATATTAGCAAAGTATGCATCTGACAAAGGACAAATATCCAGAATTTATAAGAAACTTAAACAAATAAGAAAAAAAAATAACCTCTTTCAAAAGTAGGCAAAGGACATGAACACATATCTCTCAGAAGACATACAAATGGCCAAAAACATTAAAAAAATGGTCAACATCACTAATAATCAGTGAGATACACATCAAAACCACAAGGAGATACTATCTTACATTAATCGCAATGGCTACATTCAAAAGAAAAATAAAAGCAGATGTTGACAAGGATGCAAAGAAAAGGAATACTTACACCTCCTGGTGGGAATGTTAATTCAGCCACTGTAAAAAGCAGTTTGGACATTTCTCAAATAAGCAAAAATAGAATTACCATTTATGCCAGCAATTCCATTACTGGGTGTATACTCAAAGACAATAAATCATCTACCAAAAAGATACCTATATTTGTATGTTTATCACAACACTATTTATAATAGCAAAGACATAAAATCAACCTAGGTGCTCATCAGTGGTGGATTAGATAAAGAAAATGTGTGACATATACACCATGGAATGCTACACAAGCATTAAAAAGAATGAGAGCATGTTCTTTGCAGCAACATGAATGCAGCTGAAGGCCATTATGCTAAGTGAATTAATACGGAAATAGACAACCCAGGACTATCTAATCTCACTTATAAGTGGGAGGTAATCATTGGGTACACAGACATAAAGATGGTGCAATAGACACTGAGGACTCCAAAAGTAGAAGGGAGAAAGATGGTCAAAGGCTGAAAATCTACGTCTTGAGTACTGCAGTCACAATTTGGGTGATGGAATCAGCAGAATCCCAAGACTCAACATCACACAATATACTCAAGTGATAAACCAGCACATGTACTCCCTGAATTTAAAATTAAAAAAAAAAGTATTTTCTATATAATTTTGATAACAGTAGCAACAATGAAGGGTATTTGTGAGAATTAAATGAAAACATATATCTAAAGTTTTCAATGCTTGGGAATATACAAAACATTAAAGAACGTTGATTTTAGACAAAAAAAAGATTGTAGTTTTATCTTATATATTACATCATATTGAACATAGCATCTTTCCATTAAATGCATTTTAAAAGTAACACTAGCAGAGCAAGAGGAACGGTTTTATTCAAATATTAATTGATGGTTCTTACAGATTGGAAAATGATACTTTCTCATTTGAATCATTAATATTTAATGGAAAATCTAACTATCAAGCACTGAAATATTAAGTTAAAGAGACATGGTTTTATCAGTAATACAACTGATACTCATATAGCAAATGTTGAAAATAAAATCTTATTTAAAAACCTCATATCGGCAGAGGTTGTGGTGAGCCGAGATCATGCCATTGTACTCCAGCCTGGGAAACAAGAGTGAAACTCCGTCTCAAAAAAAAAAAAAAAAAAAAAAATCTCATATAATTTAGTCAGCTATCACAATGGTAGTTTCATTTTTCCAAGTACTTGTCTTCATGACTACTCAGAGTATCAGCGAGTTACCTAGAAAGAAAAACTTTAATACTGCTGTATTTCCAAGACTCAAACTTAGAAGCTCAACCTCCTTCTCCAATCCCTCTCAATTCTTCCTCTTGTTGAATGTCATATTCAATCTCATGACTAGAGGGTCTTTATTCCTAACTCTCCTTGCTTTCCTATCCTATAAATCTTTTCAGATTTGTGTTAGACCTTTTTTCTTGCCTGGCCATGGTGCTCAGCCATTTTCTCTTTCTATGTTCAGTGTTCCTAACCACGGCAGAAAAAGCCCATGAACTAGCACAGGTGGAATAAAGGACAAATGGTTGGTTGTAGGCACTGGAGTTTGAAGAATCAGAGCTGGCAAGGAGATTCCAACCCATGGCACTAAACAGGGTGCTAATATACTGAGGGAAGATACACTATGGTTAAATTAACTCTTATTTTAGTAATATTGTCCTCTAGTGATTGTACAAGAGATGGAAATTCATCAGTTTAACAATTCTATATCCAGCATGCTCTGGACTACTCACAGTCATTTTTTTCCAGTGAATACCAGGGCTATATCTGTTACATTACTGGTCACTGATGTGATTTTGGGCTAGGCACTTAATCTCTCTCCACCTCAGTTTTCTTATTAGTAGAATAAGAATATGGTGAATATTCCATAGATGGTCACCATTAATTCCTTTCTGTCCTGAACATATATGCTGTTCCACCCATTGAGACATAAAATCTATCTCCTATTTTCCTTGTCCTAGAATCTGGGCTGGGCTGTGAATTGCTTTGATCAGGAGTAAACACATGGGGCCCAGGGGAAAATAAAAATGTAAGACCCCTTGTTCAAAGATTATTAAGAATTTCAAGATGAAAACAGTGCAACAAACATAAGGTCTTTCTATGCACAAGATTTTGTGCAACTATACAGATCATATGTCTATGAAGCTGCCCTTGGCTTGACACGTGGAATGCAGTGAAAGTTACACTGTATTTGTTCTAGGCAGCTTGTCTTAATTGTTGAATAAGCATAATAATTTATAGGGCTATTATACACAATGAGCATAAATGAAAACTTTTGATGAAAATTGCTGTGTATTTAAATTCTTTAAAATTTTGCTTAAGCTAACTTAAAAATGTCAAAACATTTTAGGGAAAAGTAGAAGACATATTAGGAGAGGTACTTTCTAGTTCAACACAGCTTCCAGGAAAAGAGCCATAAGAGAAAAGAACTATGTGTGAGCAACAACTTTTCTAATTCTTTACTGCAGTTACTGATATGGGGTAAGGAGGATTAACAGAATTCAATCCAAGATCATATTCTAGATTTATAGAATGTACTAATTAAACTATTCTGCTAATCATGGCATACCACAAATTGTCTGATGTGAAAGATTAATGGTATTAGAAATAAATGGAATTTAACAATCTTATTATTATGATTAATTATAGATGAGTCAAAGTTATATAAAAGGATTTATGGAACCAATTCTGGCTACAGTTTTAGTAGGCTGGTTCAAAATTACAAATCATCACACTGGAAGAGATTTGAATCAGTGATAGGGGTGGAAAGTTATTTTAGAAGATTTTTTTTAAGATGTCCAAATGAGGTAAGAGCCAAGAGGAATTTGCTGATTCAATCATGCACATTCTGTATCTTGAAGGTCTACCAGGTGGAAACTGCTGTGCTTGGAACTGAGCAAAACTGGCATAGGAAGGGGATACAGACAGTTTCTTCACTTCAAATTGTCATAGTTTGATACAAAGAAGTCCTGGCAAAATTAGAGCTCAATACATCTCAGCCAAGAAAGCATGCTTATAGGGTGCCCACTTGGTGACAACATGTGCATGTGCGCACGCGCGAGTGCACTCTCTCTCCGCACCCCCTACCCAGTACTAAATCCCTTGGGTTGAATAGAGGGAACCCTAGTTCATGGATTTGGACCTTTGAGAATTGTTTCAGTTCCTGCTGGAAATGAATCAGAGAAGTTGCATGTTTAATCAAATCAGAGATTTCTTATCTAGCAGGAAATAATTGGTGAGAAAATATCATTTCAAAGGGACTGAAATCCAGCTTTGAAGGAGTGTTTCTAAGACATAGTAGGGCCATGGAAAGAAGGATGAGTCTCTTGAGACAGTTTTCTAAGGTGGCTTTTGATAATATCAGTTGTCTTTTCTACCCTTCCCAAGGACTGCAGACTCTAAGCACAATTAAGATGATATTGTATGCCCAGTGCCTTTGAGACCCTGGGGACAACTGCCTGGAATGAGGGATCATTATCACTCTTGACATACTTAGGGAGTCCAAAGCAAGGACTTATTTCATTAATTAGTAGTTTTATCACTTCAGAGCCTTTCTCTGTCTGACATGGAAATGGTTCTCCCCAGTTAGTGAAGGTATCTACCAATACCAGGAGGTACTGGATGCCCCTTATCTCTGGCATATGGGTGAAATCCATTTGCCATTCTTTTTACAGGTGGCCACTCATTCTTTGGGTTCTGGAGAAGAGAAGATAAGCTACCAGTTGAAGGAATTATTATTATTATTATTATTATTTTGAGACAGAGCTTCGCTCTTGTTTCCCAGGCTGCAGTGCAATGGCGCGACCTCAGCTCACCGCAACCTCCGCCTCCTGGGTTCAGGCAATTCTCCCACCTCAGCCTCCCGAGCAGCTGGGACCACAGGCACACGCCATCATGCCCAGCTATATATATTTTTATTTTTAGTAGAGATGGGGTTTCACCATGTTGACCAGGATGGTCTCGATCTCCTGGCCTCGTGGTCCACCTGCCTCGGCCTCCCAAAGTGCTGAGATTACAGGCTTGAGCCACTGTGCCCGGCCAGGAATTATTTTTAAGGCAAGTTTCAGAAGCATTAACATCCTGTTTTATGATTTTTAGCAGATTTTTACCTGAGAACAACCTTTGAGACAATTGACAGTCTTTATCTTTTCCTAGGTGGGAGGCTTGGTGAAGAATTTTAAGGACTTTCATTGGCTGGAATCTGATAGATGAAGTTTGCCATCCTCCAGTTGAGGCCACCCTAAGGGCTGAACATGTATTTCTGAGAGGTGGCCCATTCTACTTCTTTTGGAAAATATTGAGGTTTTATTTCTCTTATGGAACACCCTCCAGACCAGAAGAGCCTCAAGTGGATCAGAAATCTGGGGCTTCTTGCTGCCAATTTAGCTGCTTGATCTGTCAATTGATTTCCCTTGGCTATTTCATTCATCCACTTTTGGTGGTTTTACAATGCATTACTGCCACTTCCTGTGGAATAAAAAATGAGGATAGTAGGCTGTTAATTTCCTGATAGTATTTAATGGGAGACCCATTAGCTGTGAGGAAGTCCCTCTCTTTCCAGATAGTGGTATGGGCAAGACTAGGAAAGCATACTTAGAATACAGGTTAACTGCTCTCCCTTTGTTTAGTTCAAGCACCCTGGTGAGGACAATTAGCTCAGCTCTTTGAGCACTTGTGCCTAAGGAGAGAGTCCTGCTCTCAATGGTGTCATTCAGGGTGACTACTACATACCCTGCCTTATGAATCCCTTGTTCTACAAAAGAACTTTGTTCATAAAGAGAGTCCAGTCTGGGTCTTCTCAGTGGGGTTCTTTGAGGTCCTCTCTAGATACATAGGTTTCCACTACTATCTGTTCACAGTCATGTTCAGGCTTCTCAGCATCCTCTGGGAGGAAGGTGGCTGGGTTCAGGGAAAGACAGCTCCTTAACTGGACTGTAGATCCCTTCAACAGCAGAGCTTGAGATTTGAGGAGGCAGTTGTCTGTTAGCCAGATACTCTCCTTAGAATGCATCAGTCCTGCCACATTATGTGTGGTAACCATGGTTAAGTCATTCCCCATGGTTAACTGATTAGCCTCTGGCACCAGCAAAGTTACTGCTGCAAATGCCTGGAGGCAAGCCAGCCATCTTTTAGACACCAAATCAAGCTCCTTGCTTAGGTAGTCTACAGGCTTGTGATGGGTGATGGTTAATATTGAGTGTCAACTTGATTGGATTGAAGAATGCAAAGTATTGTTCCTGGGTGTGTCTGTAAGGGTGTTGCCAAAGGAGATTTAACATTTGAGTCAGTGGACTGGGAGAGGCAGACCCAACCATCAATCTGGGTAGGTGCCATCTAATCAGCTGCCAGTGTGGCTAGAATAAAGCAGGCAGGAGAAGATGGAGAGCAGACTTGCTGAGTCTTCTAGCCTTCATCTTTCTGCCATGCCAGATGCTTCCTGCCTGCCCTCAAATATCAGACTCCAAGTTCTTCTTCAGCTTTTGGGCTCTTGGACTTACACAAGTGGTTTCCACAGGCTCCTGGGGCCTTGGCTACAGACTGAAGGCGGCACTGTAGGCTTCCCTACTTTTGAGGATCTGGGACTTGGACTGATCTACCACTGGCTTCCTTGCTTCTGAACGTACAGATGGCCTATCATGTGACTATTTACCTTATGATAGTGTAATTCAATTATCCTCAATAAACTCCCTTTTATATATACATCTATTCTATTAGTTCTGTCCCTCTAGAGAACACTGACTAATAGGGTTGCTGGGTTCAACCTCAGGGCTAGGTTAGAACTCTCAGAGCCATTCCCTTTTTTTCTAATACATAAAGATTGAATGTATGTCTATTGGAAGACCAAGTGCTGGTGACTCAAGTAGGGCTTGTATCAATTGGTCAAAGGCCCTTTTAGCCTCTAGTTCCAAAATTAGAGAGTGAGTCTTAACAGTCTAAATTTCCTTTACTAGGTGATATAAGGGACAAGTTATCTCACTGTACCTAGGTATCCATAATCTACAGAACTGTGAAATGCCCAAGAATCCCCTTAGTTGTTTGAGGATTTGGGCAAGGAGAAAGGAGGAGATGGGCTTAATCCTTTCTTCACTCAGCACCCTGGTTTCCTCTCACAAGACTAGACCTAGGTATTTCACTGAAATCTGAGAGCTGAGCCTTAGGTATTGAGACCTTATATCCACTGTTAACCAGAAAATTAAGAGACTTACTGCCTTCCTGAGAGATATAGTCAGTTGGGGCACACAGGAGAATGTCATCTACATGTTGTAAAACTTTAAGCTGAGGATGAAGGAACTCAGAGAGATCCCTTGATAATTCCTGCCCAAACAGGTGGGGGCTGTCTCCTGAGGTAATATCCTCCAGGCCAGTTGGGTGGTCTGGCTGGAGTGATCCTGAAATGCAAACAAATATTGTGAGTCAGAATATAGCAATATGCAGAAAAAGGCATCCTTTAGGTCCACGATGGTGAACCATTTAGATTCCTCAGGTATTTGAGTTAGCAAGGTATAAGAAGTGGGAACCACCAGAGGAGTTAGAACCAGAGCCTCATTAATGAGCTGGAAGTCCTGGAGCAGTCTCCATTCCCTGTTGGGTTTCTGTACCCCCAATATAAAGGTATTACAAGGGTTGTTGCAGGGTTTAAGGAGGCCCTGCATCCTCAAGTTAAAATGGTGGCATCTACCCTTTTCTTAGCTTCTGGTTTTAGGGTAAATTGTCTCTCACTAGGGAAATAAGTCGGATTCTTAAGATGGATCCAGACTGGTACAGTGGTTGTTGTTTGGCCAATTTTCCCTTGAGTTGCCCAAATTTCTGGATTATCAGTCCCCACTAGGGGGAGATAAATAATCTGTCCTGGGTCCATAAGGATTGTGATTCCTATATGAGCTAAAATATCCCTGCCTAGCAGAGGCTTTGGGCTTTCAGGCATGATTTAAAAGGCAAGGGTAAACAACAGGTCTTCACAACTAAAACTAAAGGGTTGGGAAAAAATATCAGATTAAACACTTTCCTGAAATATCCCTCATGGTCATGCTAAGAAAGGAGGGGAGGCTTGGATTGGAGAGGAAAACAGGAATAGTGGCTCTGGTATCCAGGAGGAAGTTCACCTTCCTCTGTGTAACCTTCAGAATCACCTGAAGCTCCTGGGTGGTAATGGCAGTCTGAGTCATCAGAGCTGGGAGAGGAGCCCTGGAACTCATCAGTTCTGCTGGTCCATTTGGGAGACTGGCTCTGGACCTGGTGACCTGTGTCTCTAGGGACAGTCTGTGTTCCAGTGGTGCCCTTGGCAGACTGCACAGGGTTCAGGTGGCTTCCTCATGTTGCTTAGGCAGTCTTTCTTAAAGTGCTCTGGCTTGCCACATTTGTAGCAGTTAATAGGTGCCTCTTGGGTATTCTGGGATGTGTAAGCCTGCAAAGCAGCCATTAGACCCTCTGCCTTTATCTTGTGCCTCCTCTATTTCTCTTGAACCTTCTCCAGATCCCTAATGTGAATGACTGAGGTGGCCACTTTCAGGAGGTCCTCTAAAGTACTATCTGGCCCATGGCCTGTTTCTGAAGCTTCCTCGTGTTATCAGAGGCCACCTGAGTAAACTTATCCTTTAGGGTTATCTATCCCTCAACTGAATCAGGGGATAAAGGAGTATCCTTTATCAAGGCCTCTCTTAGCCAGCAGGCTTCTAATATGATCCCCGGTCTATCATGGATAGTTTGAAGTAATTTAGAGGCTTAGTTCTAGTCCTTCATAAGCCCTCCAATATGTGCATCTAAAAGTGTTTCCTCCTCCATTCTCCCATGTCATCATTGGGGTCTCATTTAGGGTCCTCCAGTGATACTGCTGTTTTTCCAATTGAATAATGCTCTTACCCTTCCTTGGCTCTATATGAGATACAAAGGTTATCTCCAAACTTCTCTGCCACTTTCAGGGCTGCCTGTTTCTCAGCCATAGTCAACAGTTGAATTTAAAAGTACAGATCATTTTTCCAGAGGTGTTCAAATACTTGGGTTGAGTTCTGGAAGACCTCTATATAACTGTCAGGGTCATCAGAAACCTTACCAAGACCCCTCTTAATTTGTCTTAAGTCCTGTAGCAAAAGGGGGACCTGTACCTTAATGGGGCCACATTCACAAGGCATCTTTATGGGGGCATGAGTGAGGCTGGGGCCTTCCTAAAATGAGAATTTCTAGGATGAGACAAGCTTGAGAGAGACCCTGGGTAGACAGAACAGGAAGGACCAGGAGGATCAGGATCAGAGGGAGCTTATTTCCCCACTGGAGGCACCTCAGAGGTTTGCTGCCCTAGTCTCTTAGGATAGTCCTTTGCAGACTCTCCTGAGATTATCACTAGGAGAACTGGATCAATCCTACAATGTTGGAAGAGGTCCTGATTATCCTACAAGGCAACAAAATCTTGCACATAGGACACTGGACCATTTGTCCTTGTGTTTGTAGAACAGATAGAGCTGCAGGATAGTATTAAAATTGTTACTTCTCCAGAGGCCAAGCTTCTCCATCTGCAGATTATAACCTGGCCAAGCCATTGTACAAAGGAATGTAAGGCATTGTTTCTTCAGAGTCTGAGGGTCAAAAGTGTCCCAGTGATTCAGGATGCCCTTGAGCAGAGTGCAGGCTGAGGATAAATTGCTACCCATCTGAAAAGATAGAAGGAAGAAAAGGTATCCCTTAATCTTGCCCTTCCTCATCTTGAATTTGAGGCATCCTCCAAATCCATTACCTGGTACTGGCACCATGGGTGAGCTCATGGGGCTTCTGCCATGAATGTGAGCATGACCACTACCCATGAAGTGGGAAGGCCTAGTCAGCAGGGATAGTCATGCTTACCTGCACTGTGCCATAGCCTTCCACTGTTGACTGCCTCTGGGTCCCTCAGATATAGTTTTCCTTTTAGGGATTCAAATTGAAGCTTGGAAAATACACTGGAGTAATGCTAAGTCACCTTAGCTGTGGGACCAGATCTTCCTCAAACAAAGAAAGTGAATCCCTGGAATTAGGGACCTGGCCTGATAAAATGCCTCCCCAGAGGAAAAAAATTAATCCCTCACATTTAAAGTCTCCCTGTATTCACAGGATTATGTTGACACCTGACATGTTGGAACAAAAAAAAAATGCAAAGGAGGGAAGGTGTCTGGGGAAAAAGTCTCTTGTACTGTACTAATGGGATTTTTCAACAGGGGAAAGAAAACTCTCTTAATTATTACATCCCTGTTTCTATGAATAGACAGAAACATTGTTCTGGTTTACTGTCCTGATGACTAAGCCAAGTATTCATTCTACCCAGTAAAATTATCCCTTTGGGTTGCAAAAACACCTGCAACATTGTGTATAAAAAATGGATAGCAGCCAAAAGAATCTCAAAAGAAAGAAAATGTGATAAGTAAGACTAGAAATCTTGGTCCAACACCTGAATGAGCTCTCAGGGATTGCAGCTGGTCCAGGAGCTCTCAGGTAATGCTGAGGTGTGACCTTAGCCAAATACCTTTAGTATCCCCAGGATGTTATTCTGATCCCATGAAATGGCTAGACATCTGTGTAGGGAAACTGAATTTGAACAAAGCCAACATTCCCAACATCTGAGGGTGGAGGGTTCCTTCCCAGAAAGCCTGTCTTCTGAGTCTTGCAGACCAGCAGCTGTGCTATCCACTTTTAACTGGCTGACAGAGGTCTGGTGTTTTATCTGTTTTTGGAAAAAATCTGAGGACGATAACCTCGGAATGAAACTAAAGTGTCATAGTTCCACTCTTACTCACCCTTCCGAAGATCCTGAAGGAGCCCCTAGAAATGTTGTGGCTTTTTCACTCCGGTAGTTCAGCAAGTGGAAGGGAGAGGCACCCACCGGCCTCTTTGCTTCTGTAGCTTGGCAAGCGGGAGGGAGTGTTACAGTTCTTTTATTCCCACCACCTGCAGCTTGGCAAGTGGGAGGGAGTGTTACAGCTCTTTTGTTCCCACCATCTGCAGCTTGGCAAGTGGGAGGGAGTGTTACAGCTCTTTTATTCCCACCATCTGCAGCTTGGCAAGCAGAAGTGTTACAGCTCTTTTGCACTCAGATTTTGGTGAGTTCTGGGTTCTTGTCTTGTGACCAAGAGGAATAACGTACATGGACACTGGAGAGTGAGTAAGGCAGAGTGGAATTTTATTTTGTGACAGAAAGAAAGCTCTTGGCACAGAGAAGGGACCTGAATGTGGGTTGCCATTTGTGAGGCTGCATCTGGAGTTTTATCGGCTTAGAATGGGAGAATGCATGCTGATTGGACCATGGGTGGGTTGAAAAATATGTCATTTGATTGGTTAGAAGGCGTCATTCAGCAGGAGTCAATAGAGAGAGAGTGGGTAAGACAGAAATTGAAGTTCTCACTCTGGTTGTGAACTCTATCTAGAATGAACTCAGTTTTCAGGCTTCAGACGGTCCTTGGCCTGAAGGTTGAGCCCCACTGGGGACTTGTCTCTGTCTGCCTAGGAATCTGTTTCCTGTTACTACCAGTTTTAGGTATTGCTTTCACATTTTTAATACATTTCAGTTTGTTTATTTTTGTATATGGTGAGAGATAGGGTCTAGTTTCATTTTTCTGCATATGGGTATCCAGTTTTCCAGCACCACTTGTCGAACAGGGTGTCCCTTTCTCAGTATATGTTCTTGGCACCTTAATTTAAAATAAGGTAGCTGTAAATATGTGGATTTATTTCTGAGTCTTTATTCTGTTCCATTGGTTTATGTATCTTTTTAATACAAATATTATGATGTTTTAGTTAGCATAGCTTTGTAGTATATTTCGAAGTCAGGGAGTGTGATGCCTCCAGCTTTGTTCTTCTTACTTATGTTGCTTAGACTACCTGGGGCCTTTTGTAGTTTCATACAAATTTTAGGATTCTCTTTTCTGTTTTGGAGAAAATGGCACTGACATTTTGATAGGGATTGCATTAAGTCAGTAGATTGCTTTGGGTAGTATGACTATTTTAAAAATATTAATTATTCTAATCCACAAACATGGAATATATTTGCATTTTTGGGGTGACCTACTCAATTTCTATTACCAGTGTTTTATACTTTTCATTGTAGAGATATTTTATATCTTTGGTTTAAATGTATTTTTAGGTATTTTATCTTTTTTGGAGTTAGTGTAAATGGACTTGGTTTCTTAATTTCTTTTTAGATTGTTTGCAATAGAAATGCTACTGATTTTTATATGTTGATTTTGTGTTCTGTAACTATACCAAATTTGTTTATCAGTGTTAAATGATTTTGGCCAATTTAAGTTTTTCTAAATATAGGATCATGTAGTCCACAAAAACAAACAAAAAACAGTTTGACTTCTTTGCTGCCATTTGGATGCTCTTTATTTTTTTCTCTTGTCTAAGCATTCTGGAAGTTAATATTGGAAGGACTATGTTGAATAAAAGTGGTGAAAGTGGGCATCTTGTCCTGTTCCAGATTTTAGTGAAAATGCTTTTCATTTTTCTTCATTCAGTATGATGTTAGCTGTGGGTTTGCCATACCTGAGAAACACACAGCTAGCATATACTGAAGAAAAATTTTGATGAGTTCATATATTACGTATGTTTTGATATTGTTTTATAAAAACAAAGTTTTGAGGTATGTTTCCTCTATAGCCAATTTGTTGAGAGTTTTTATCATGAAAGCATATTGAATTTATCTAATGCTTTTTAAACATCTATTGAAATAATCACATGGTTTTTGTTCTTGGTTCTGCTAATGTAATGTACTATGTTTTTTGGGTTTCACATGTTAAAACATTCTTGCAACCCTGGGATGAATCCCACTTAATAATAGCGGATAATCTTTTTAAAGCATTGTTGAATTCAGTTTGCTAATATTTCATTAGAGATTTTTGCATATGTTAATAAATTTATTAGTGATATTGGCCTGTAGTTTTCTGTTTTTATTGTGTGTTTGTCTTGTTTGGTATCAGAGTAATGCTGACCTCATACAATGAGTTTAGAAGTATTCTTTCCTCTTTATTTTTATGTTCTTTCACAGCTCATGCTGTTTTGGAAGTTGTACTCCACCCTACCCCAACACCCACCCAGAGCATCTATATAGATGAGACTAAGAGATACTCTAAGAAAGATAGGGTATCTCCACTTCACTGTAGTCCAGATATAGCTCCTCTAAGGACATTTTGAGATTTCTGAAATATTTGTTACTTCCCCAATGCATAGGAATTTTCACCAAGGTAGCAAATCTTTCATTCATCCATTCAACATGTATTAATTGAACATCTAATATATTATGAATACTCTTTTACAGGCTAAATATACAGTTGTGAAAAATGGGTAACATTCATTATAATGGGAGAAATAAAAATGAACTGGATAACTTTAGAGAGTATCTAGTGCAATAAAAGAAATGAAACTATTATCTGAAGCCATTATAAATGTACAACCAGTATTTAGGTCACTGGCCTCATGGTCAATGACCTTCTGAATTATATTCCTTCTGAATTATAAATGGCAAAGCTAATTGAGGCCATGCTCTAAATACTTCTGTGATCCAAACAATGATATAATTTCAGAACCAGGGAAACCTATACTGACCACATTCATTCTTGGGTAAAGAGACTGTGACCCAAAGTGGCTAAGAGATATGTCCAAGATCCCTGGCAAAGGCGATTGAGGTAAAAATCAAACATTTGTCTCTTTGTTTTTTACCACAGGGAAATCTATCTGTAAACAAAGGGCAAATTAGAAGAAAGGTCTTAAAACAATGACAGAAAAAGCAAAAACAATGTTCAATTTAGGATCAGTATACCTTATTAGAATACCTTGCAATATACGAACTGTTATATATCTGGCTTATAGAAAAGAATGAATACATAGTGGATCATTCAGTAGGCTGAATACGTAAGAAACTCCCATGACCTCAGTTTAAAATAGTTTGTGATGATACCTTGATATTTCCAAGAACAGCTTCTTAACTGGCCTCTCCACTTCACTTTCTCCCCACAACCCATCCTCCATACAGCACTGAAGTAAACTGTTCATATGAGAAATCAATGTCACTCCTTGGCTTAAAATCCTCCAATTACTTTATAGAGTGCCGACAAGTTGATCCAGAACTTCTTGCCAGAGTCTCGAAGGCTCTACCGGATCTGCTCCCACTGAGTTTTCTATCTTCTGCTGTACTCTTTTCTCATTGTTTTCTGCTCACACTGGTCTTGCTGCTTCTGAACGATGCCAAACATGACTATACCAGATACTTACGTGCTTTCGTATCATTTAGTACTTACCCCGAATATAACTTTCTTAAAAGAATTTCCACCAATCATAATATCTAAAACAGCTCTTTCTCTAATCCAAATACCTTCTTGTATTTTCATAACAGAACTTGCTACCACCTATAATTAAAGTATTTCTTTGTTTAATGTGTATTGTCTTTCCGTCCACTAGAATGTAAGATACAGCAATATAAGGGTCCTGTTAATTTTCTTCTGCTATATCTTCAACCCCTGAATAAGTGACTAACATACAGGAGTGACTTTATCATATAAGCTAAATGAATGTCAGGAAGGAAAAATAGGCTTTTTAGCAATAGAGTTCTCCTGGGTCCCAGGTAGCCACCTAATGTGCGTAGAAAAAAATTGCACTGGACTACTTGGCATATGCAACTGTGAGATGAATGCTCTGCTTTGCTTTTGCTTAATTTATGTTTCCTAAAAGAAGATATTTGACAAGTGTATCTGAGCTCCATGGGCTATGGAGTATTACTATGGGAAGAGTTTGTATCAGTGATGTGAAAAATAATTATACCCCTTATGCAGAGTTCATATTTAGTTTCCTTTCACTCTTTTAAAGTCCGTGGCAAAAAATTAACTTAAAAATAAAATAGACTAGGTGCGGTGGCTCACGCCTGTGATCTCAGCACTTTGGGAAGCCAAGGTGGGAGGATGACCTGAGGTCTGGTGTTCGAGACCATCCTGGCCAACATGGCCAAACCCTGCCTCTACTAAAAATACAAAATTAGCTGGGCATGGTGGCAGGTGCCTGTAATCCCAGCTACGCAGGAGGCTGAGACAGGAAAATTGCTTGAACCCAGGAGGCATGGTTGCAGTGAGCTGAGATCGTGCCACTGCACTCCAGCCTGGGAAACAAGAGCGAAACTTCATCTTGAAAAAATAAAGTAAAATAAAATAACATAAAATAATCAATGTAGATATATATATATATATTTTTTTTTCCCAAAGGAAAGTGGCTTGATAGTCACCAGGAGCTTCTTTCCCCAGAAGGTGGCTAGGTATTTGTCAGGCATTTAAGATTTCTGTAAATAAGTTGTCAATAGTCCCATACAAGTACACCTGATGGCACGCTAAGATAATAGTGAAGCATACTCCAGTATATTACTTAAAATTCACAAGTGGAAATCAACTATATTTATATGATACCTTAGAGCATTTCCTGCTGAACCAACATTTAAATTTTATTCTGGTATCAGTGGCATTCTTTCAGCAGGCTACCTCACTGTCATGGGCATCCATCCGACATGTAACTAAAGAGGGTTGTTCAATCTCATGTGACAGCATTGTATGAATGTGTGTGTTAGGGAATGGGTGGGGGGAGACAGTAAATATATGAATACAATTAGTTGCTTGATAATAAAATCTACCTGCCCATTGATGATTTCCCTGAAGTTTTACATGCTCAATTATACCTTTGCCCTTTACTTACCTTTGATTATAGACAAGCCAGACCTTTAGGGATGTAGACTAGTGGAAGAGAACTGTGTTCCAGAGCAGAGGCAGGATAGCCTTCCTGGAGAAGTGAGAATCAGGCTTTGATGTATCTTAATCATTCTTTCTGGGGGTAGGCCCCATCTTGGGGGCCCTACCTTGTTCCAGTCCTGTGGT